ATATATGTACATATATATATATGTACACATATATATTTATACATATATATGTATATGTATTTATACATATATACATATACAAATATACATATATATATATATATATATATATATATATATATATATATATATATATATATATATATATATATATGTGTGTATATATACAATCCTTGGAATTAGGTTCGGGATTTTGCAAATAATTGCTGACCTCGTTTCTATGTTTTATAGTAAGACCTTTGTATCAATTTTTTTTGCCAACCTGATGTTGACCTCTAAAAGATTGAGGTCGGCAAATTATTCCTGACCTCATTTTTTCTAATTCTGTTGTGTGTGTGTATATATGTATATATGTGTGTGTGTGTGTGTGTATATACGCTTACTAAAGCGTGTTTTGATAAGCATTTGCTCACTTTTTTTGCTTACCTTAAGCTATACCATTTTTTTCGAAAAAGAAGAAGAAAAAACGAAGAATGATGAATGAAACCATTGCTTCCCCATCCCAAACCCTCAGTCGATGTAGCAGCACTCCACTGCGAGTCAGGCTATTTGTCAGTCGATGTATGTACTGAAACCCCCAGCAGCAGGCTATTTCAGTATGACGCCAGATTGCTAACCTTAGTACGCAATACTATTTGTATATATATATGTGTGTGTATATATATATATATATATATATATATATATATAAAAATATGTGTGTGTGTCTGTATATATATATATATATTTATATATATATGTGTATTTATTTATATATATATATATATATATATATATATATATATATATATATATATATATATATATATATATATATATACAGACACAATTTTTGTCAAACTGATGCCAACCTCAATCTTTTTGAGGCCGGCATCAGTTTGACAAAAATTATTTGAAACAACGGTCTGACCATAAAACATTGAATCAAGGTCAGCAATTTTTTGCCGATCTTAAACAATATATATATATATATATATATATATATATATATATATATATATATATATATATATATATATATATATCAGGGGCGTATACAGGAAATTTTTTGGGTAAGTCAAAAAAAAAAAATTATTTCCCCCTCTGCCTCTCTATCTTTTTAGGGAGGGGGGGGGACCGGATTTTGACCGGATTGAGTGTATTTTATAAAAATGTTTTAATTCTTTAACATTGATAAAATGGAAACTAAAGCTCAAAACATGATTTTTGCAAACTAAAAAAAATATTTTTTGAAAATACTCAGTTGTCGTAATATATAATATATACATGTTAACATTTTTTACAAGATTTGTGAAAATAATTTACAAGATTAATATAAGATTTTGCTGTGTAAATTTTTTTATATAACTTTATAAATAACTTTTAATTATAAATAAACTTTATAAATATTTAGAGTAAAAAAACTTATTGGAATAACTGTACAATGCTAAATGTTTTTACAAAAATGTCTGGCTATGAAAATAGCTGTTTAACAAAAAGCAGCTAAAACATTTGAAGTTATACTTTTATCGTATTTGAATTTTATTTAAAGCACAACTCATAAGTATTTATAACAAACTTGAAAAGATTTGTTGCTTGTAATGTTTCAGTACTATTAGATTAAAGTTCATTTTTGAAATTCAGGCAGTTGTAAAATTCAATTAAACTTCCCACAGATCAAATTTGAGTAATGAAGCCTTTGGTTTGGAAATAATAAATAAACCTAATAAAGCCTTTGGTTAAACAAGACACTAAAAAATATGATTTGGTTTTCTCAACTAGTATAAAAAAACATTGAATTTCTGCAATTGTTTTTAGAAGAAACTGAATATTAGAAAGAAGAAATTAAAGTACAGGTGCTTTATAACACTTCAAAATTATATCAATCAACCATTGTGTTAATCTCAGTAATCTAGATAAAACTCAGATAGTGTAGCAAAGAAACAGCGATAACCAAGTTAAAATAATTTGAAAGGTAATTTTTAGGCTTGTTAAGAGGTGTTGATTAATAATATTTCTTACTATAGAGACAAAATCTTTTAATGCTTGAATAAGATTTACAGTTATGGCCATTGAAATCCTACCACTGCTGAATATAAAGAAAAACAGTCTATGCATGCGAATAATAAATTTATTTTCTTCCCTTACATCAATGATTAGTTAATTAGCTTTTAGCCAATCACATTAGCATTTATTTTATTGCACTGTAAAATTTATTAAGCTATATATCTCATTGTAGGGTATGGATTATCATTTAACTGTCACAATTTAATTATGACTACGAAGGAAGGTCTTCGTGCTAATATTAAACTTTTATGGGAGGATGGTGCAAGTGAGCGTCAGATATCAGCAAGATTGCGAATGCCAAAATCTACTGTTCATGATATTATACAACTAATCAAAGACACAGGATCCACTGCGCCCAGAAAATGTTTTGGTAATGCTAGAATTACTAGCAAACAAACAGACAATATGATACACAGGGCTGCTGTGAGAGATCCAACAATATCCAGCACACAAATCAGGGCAGATCTACCTAATGACGTTACAGTCAGCACTCGAACAATTAGAAGACGTTTATTGAAAGATGCAGGTCTACGTTCTCGTCGTCCAGCCCTCAAACCGCGACTGTCTTTAAAGAACATCTGTGATAGGATCGAATTTTGTAGAGCTCACAGACACTGGTCAATAACCAAATGGGGCCAGGTAATGTTTAGCGACGAGGCACAACCAAAGCAATTCGCTCCGCATAAGTCATTAGTTCGTCGCCCACCTAATCAGCGTTTTAATGCAAAGTATACCGTACCAGCTGTCAAGCAATGTCTTTCAATTATGGTGTGGGGCGCAATAGCTTCATCTGGTCAATGTGGTATTTATTTAATGCAGAAGGGACAGACTGTTAACTCCCAACAATATCTAAAAATCCTTCAAGAAAAGGTTCCAAATTTGATGGAAATTCGTCGTTGCAAAATATTCCAGCATGATGGTGCACCGTGTCACCAATCTCGTCTTGTAAAATCTTGGTTAGAGAATCACAACGTTCATTTTCTGGGTCCTTGGCCAGGATCTAGTCTGGGGATCAGGATTTTTGGCCAGGATCAAGTCTGGAAATTAGCAATTTTCGATTGGGTTCAAGTCTGGGGATCAGGATCCCCAGACTTGAACCCAATCGAAAATTGCTGGGTCAAGTTAAAGTCAGCAGTATCCAGAACTAATCCTACATCACTGGACGATCTAGCGCACAAAATTTGTCAAGCTTGGATTACTGAAATAATGCCAGAATATTGTCAGGCTCTCGTGGATTCAATGCCAGATCGCATTAATGCAGTCTTAAAAGCACATGGTGGTGCCACTAAATATTAAAAACATTGAATATGAACGATATGTTACATTATAATCATTAATTGCTACTGTTATTCTTTTATTGCTATAATACAATTGTTTATTACTACATTAAACTAGTTTTAAGTAAAATGATACTGGTGGTCGGATTTCAATGGCCATAACTGTAAACTATAAAAATTATCATTATTACTTGCTTGCAAAATTATGTAAATAAAAAAGTTATATTAAAAACATGTCTTGTTATACACAGTGCAACAAAATAATCAAAGTTTGTTATAAATTCACAAGAAGAAGCAGTAAGCAGAGGCTGCACCATTAATGACATTCTTTGAGACAAAAAACCACAGGTATAAAAAACTTTCGTAAAGTATCCATGCCACAATTTCACATTTCATAACACCTAAAGAAAAATCAGTAATAGCTTTTATGAAAATACTAAGTAAACAAGTTTTTTTTTTAATGTGGTTCATCATAGTTCCTATTACGATTATCATGAATCTCATAAAGGATAAACAAAATGGCTAAATAAAATTATACTTAATAAGTCTAAAATCTTCTTGATTATAAAAGAAAACCAAGGAACAAATACTAGTTTTTATCGATGCAACTATAAACAGCTTTTACTTGTAATAACTCTCTGTCTTCCTTTCTTGTATCCAAAGGATATCGTGGTATCAAAAGTTCTACAAAATTAAAGTAATATTCGGTCGCCTAACTTTAAAGGAAATGATGCTTTTCTTTAACATGCAAACTTTTCCTTTAAAATGCTATATAAACTTGTGAATTAAGCGACATTTTGAACTAATTATCGGCCATGTTATATGTTTAATAAAATTAATTAATTTAATAAAACACAAATTTAGCAGGATGTAAGTCAAAGGGGAAGTCCGAAATTTATTTTCCACATTTGAAACCTTTTTTCTCCTTATTTATTACTTAAAATGCAAGTATTAAAATGATATACAGTCTAGTGTAATAAAACTGGGGATGTTTATTGATATATTTTGTTACTAACTAATTTTATCACCTGGTGATAGTTAAACAATAAAACTTAATAAAAATTCTACTCAGGGTGTATGTTAAAAGGGAAGTCCAAAGTTTGTTCTAACTGAAATAATCATTTTGATTTTTTTTAAACCATTAAAAGAAAAAATTCAAAAAATAGAATTCTGTCTAACAAAATAAAATAAGGTATGTCAATTCAAGTTTCTAATTAAGTTATTTAACTCAAAAGTTAGTTTAACCTCCATTAAAATATTGTAATTATTATTTTTTAACAATTGCAAAATTTTGAAACCGGTATACTATTTTCCGGTTTTTTAATATTTTTCCAACCGTTCAAGATAATTAACCGTGCATAATTTGTTTAGCTGTAGTTTGGTTTTAATAGTTATATATAGTAAGACTTTTTTCAACAATATAATCAAGTTGAACTTTTATTTAATTTTTTCGGGTATGTCCAATGACGTAGCGGACATCCCCTAGACACGCCCCTGTATATATATAAAATGCAAAATAAAATAACTCAATTAGCAAACAATTTGTATAAACAATTACATAATCAGATAATTGAACTTATTAAAATAACCTTAAATATTATTTATTGTATGATATTGTTTAAATTTGTTGCTATTATTATTTACTCACATTTTTCTCATTTATTATTTACACTTTAGATTTATCTCCAAAGCTTCAAAAGCATATTGCTAATAATGACATACAGGAAGATGATAAGTACTCTAAAGTTGATGAAAAGATGATCTCCTTAGTAAAGAGGGATATCAGTTTTGAGATATCTTCTACTGAAAAAAATCAAACCACTGAAAATATCATAACCCTAATGAAGAAGGATATTAATTTTGAGATATCTTCTACTGAAACAAATCATACCACTGAAAACTCAGGCCAAATAAAAAACACAGAAGATCATATGCAATGTCCAGACTCTTGTCAGGTTTCTAATGGTCATATCTCAGAATCACTTTCAACTAATTGTTTGTTGAATAACTCAGATAAAGATATTATAAAAAGGGATGTTGAAGAAAGTTTAAAGTTGAAAAAGGATATTGCATTATTATATGCAGTTGTAGACAAGTCTAAAAAAAAAGATAGAACTAAAGAATTTAATGCATTAGATTCTAAAGAAACGCAATCTACATCTTTAGATATTAAAAATGGAATTTGTTCTAATGAGAGTTCTCACAGTGACTTTAATAAAGACTCAAGTTTAGATTCTCCTTATATTTTATGTTCTGACACAGTAGCTCTATTCCCCTCTGAATTTTCAGGTAAATTTTAAAAATATTTTGTAATGTTTTGATTTTTATTCAATAAAATTTTCCTAAATTTTAATAAATATAAAATATAGAATATAAAAATATAGAAACATAATTAGAAATATGATAATAAATTAATAAATAAGTTTAAGCGTAACAAATACTAAATAATGAAATATAAAGATAAATATTTTCCTTGCAGGAAAATAGATGTATGTCATATATACGGTATTTAATTAAAACAATTTATATTTTCAAATTTTTATTTAGTTTTACTTTATTTTATTTTTTTAATTTTGCTTTATTTTTGCTTTGCAATTTTACTTATTCAATTTTGCTTCATCATCGTCATCATCATCATCATCATCATCATCATCGTCATTATCACTATCATCATCATTATAATCATCACCTTCATCTTCATATCATCATTATCATCTTCATCATCATCATTATCATCATCATCATTATCATCATCGTTATCATCGTCATCATCTTCATCATCATCGTTATCAATTGATGTTAGGACCAACCTTAGTTAATGTAGCATGCATGCCACTGCACAGTCGGCCAGGTAGTAGAAAAGGCTGTTTTTTTAAGGGTAACAATATTAGAATTTTTTTATATATATTGTTGCTTAGTTGCATATTAACTAAATCAAAATATATCACTCTGATATATATACATATATATATATATATATATATATATATATATATATATATATATATATATATATATATATATATATATATATATATATGTATATATATATATATATATATATATATATATATATATATATATATATATATATATATATATATACATACATATATATATATATATATATATATATATATATATATATATATATATATATATATATATATATATATATATATATATATATATATATATATATATATACATACATACATATATATATATATATATATATATATATATATATATATATATATATATATATATATATATATATATGTATATGTATATATATATATATATACAACTATTCACGAAAGTTTAAACGAGAGTGTAATTTTGATCAAGTAGGTTTATTTTTTTCTTAATAAAATAATAAATAAAAATGATGTCAACGTAATTTTTTTTATTTGTTAAATAAAAAGTAATTTGGTTTAGAATAAATGTGAACTTGTTATGAAATGATTTATATAAATTTAAAAAAAGTTAATTACAAACATAAACATGTGAAAAATGAGTAGCACAAAAGTTTAAATGAAATTTCACAAACAAATAAAAAATGGAAATAAAATGCCAAGTTAATATTTAAAATGTTTGTTTTTATAGCAAAGGTAAACTCGTTTCTGCATTGATTCAACTAATTTCATGCACATCTCTCGAGGTACCTTCAACCAGATTGTATTTGGTAATAAGTAAATTGATTGTCAATCCAAGACCAAATATTTTTAATTGGGTTGAGATCTGGTGATCTAGGGCACCAAGGGATCACATTTATTTTTTTCTGCAAAAAATATTCTTTGATTGATTTAGCTGTATGAGCTGGAGCCCCGTCTTGTTGAAAGATAAATTGCTTGCTTCTACCATACAACTGTCTGATTGATGGAATTAAACACGTTTCCAATGTATTTTTGTAGGTGTACCGATTTATTCGGCCTTTGTACAGCTCACACATACCGATACCTTTGTGAGAAAAACATCCCAAATACCAATGGAACCAATGGAACCTCCACCGCCTTATCGACGTGGTTGCAAAAACTTCTGAATATTTCACCGTTGCAAATCTTTTGACATATAGTCTTCCCTTGCAGTTTACAACTTGAAAATTAGCTTCATCACTCCAAATAACTTTTAACCAGTCTTCAACAGTCCAGCTTAATCTTTCTTTTGACCATATTCGCCGTTTACGTTGGACCATGATTGATAAAATAGGTTTTCTTGCTGCAATGTATGTTCCAATACCTTTTTGCAGCAATCTTCGCCTAACGAGCTCTCTGCTTACGTTATGTTAATTTTTTGACTTGTTGAAGATTTGTGCTAGCTTTTTGTAGCTGTGCCTAGGATTCTCTCTGCAGCTTCTGAATATGCTACTTTTTTCACAGTCACTAAGCTTCGATGGTCTCCCGGAACGCGGCATGTCAACGACGTCCTTGGTAAGCTTCCAGATTTTGACTGTTTTTCGTATGCAAGATTCAGAAACCCCAAGTTTTTTGCCTATTTGAACATTGCTGTGAATTTTTGACTTAGACATACCAATAATTTGCCATTTGATCTCACTTGAAACTGGTTTTTGCCCCATTTGCATGCAATTTGAAATTGTTTGAAATTTGCAATGATTTCAGTTGATTTTTGTTGAATATGAAGCTGTTGAATAATGTTGTGACGATTTTTATTGACTGAAAACCAGTCAATCTACTTATGTTTATGTTTTAAAACAATTTTCGCTATGGATTAATTAATTACTTAACATATAATTGAATTTTAATAAACTCGTTTAAACTTTTATGATACCAATTAATTTCTCACATCTATCTATTAATCAAATTCCCAAGATCACTTATGAGTCGAAACCTACTTTTTTTATTTATTTTTGATCAGAAAACCTAGTTTACCGAATGGGGAAAAATTATTTCGATATCTATTTCCGTTACATTTTTATTAAAGAAAAACCAAAGATTTGTTCTTAAAATTGCACCCTCGTTTAAACTTTCGTGAATAGCTGTATATATATATATATATATATATATATATATATATATATATATATATATATATATATATATATATATATATATATATATATATATTCATTCAGAGGCGTAATGTTAGTTTTGAGGCCCCAAGGCAAGATTATACAATGAGGCCCCTGCCCCTGGCCCCTAATTCTTCTATTAATGTACTTTTAAAAAATAAAAAATGTAATGACTATAAATTTTCAACAAAAAATAGTTTTTTTGAAAATTTACACTAAATTATATTTTATATTAAAATACAAATATGCGCATGAAAGTAATTTTGTCATAAACAATCTTATGTAATAATTTTAATTTTTTTTGCGCAATTTTAATAGGCAAAAATTTTAATATTTTTTTATAGCTCTATCTAAATTTAATTTTTTTGCAATATCATTTTCAATAGATAAAACATTTTAATAAAATAGATAAATACTTATCTACTAGTCTACTATATATCTACTTATCTACTAGTCTACTATATACTACTTATCTACTAGTCTACTATAGTATTTCTCAAATAGTTTTTAATTAAATTCATTTAAGAAATGCTTATTTCATTTGATGCTACTGATATTAGTAAAATTAAATAAATTATTAAAGCCGCTGTAATGTTTTTATCAGTCCAATGTTAATCCCCATTTTAAAATCACCTCCAATAATTCTTTTGTATCACACATTTTACTACTTCCGCCATGTTGCTGTTGTTTCTTAATGCCATTAATTCATATTTTAAACTTGGTGTAATAAAATTTTCATATTTTTTGTACAAATTTTGAAATGAATGAATTATTTCCAAATCTTTACAATCTAACAAAATAGTTTTTAAGAGTTTTTTTTTTTATTGTAGATTTAAATCTTTTCCCAATTTGAGATAATACAAATCGAAAGTTTTCTTATAAATGCTGTCAATAAAAATCTGTTCTTGGCTTTTGTTGAAATTTTCTTCAAAATATGTTTCATCAAAAAATTTCTTACAAATTGGTGTTCGTTTAGATTTCAACTCAGTTGTAATTTCCGCCATTTTCTTTGTGTCACTTAAACGTTTTAAGTATTTTAAGTGGGTCCATGCATTTTCCCAACAAAGTAATGGCTTCCATTAAGTTTGTATTTTTTATTTGAAGAAGTATTGTGTTATATTCAGAACTGTTTTTGTTAGATTCATTTAATATTCAACTTTTAATTTGTAAAATAACCAAAAATTAATGTTTTAAATAGATTTTTTTATTTTCAAAGCTTATTTTCTTCTGATTTTTGAGAAGTCAAAATAATTTTATAGAGTTCTCTAAGTATATCTATAAATCTTGATTTAATAGTGTAAAGAGAATTCTTCCAGCCCATCAAATTGGATTGAGAGTTTTTAATGTAGTATCACTTTTATCAGTAAAAAAAAGACAATATGTCCTATCTGTTTATGCTTAAACTGAAAAAATATATATAATTCTTGTAATCTTGCAAAAAAAGTTGATATTTCTAGAATACGTTTTATAATGTCACTAGATTCAAGTTATGCGACTTACAATGAATATAATTAGCATTTGGTTGAAGTTCTTTTGTTTTCTTTTGAACATTATTGTGTATTCTTGGCATAAATTTGGCGCTGTCATAACTTTTCCTAATCAGTTTATCAATAGAAAGTTGTCTTTTTTCTACAGATTGTATTAATATATTTTTAATATTTGTAGCATCTCAGGAGATTACTTCTTGAAATCTGAAAATGGTTCTTTTATATGTACTTTTGATGGAATACAATTGTCATCATATTTAATCTTAACATATCTGTATACTTCACTTAACATGGTTTATTTTTTTTGAGTCAATTGTTATGTCTGTCATAATAGAAAAAAAATGGGGCAGATTTTATTTTTCTGTTATTTCTTTTTCTACCATACTTCCAAGGCACTCGATCATTTCATTTTGTATTGTGCTACTCATATATTTAGTTGCCCCTTTTGGTTTATTTAATAAATGTTTCATAAAGGATCTAATTCTCTTAGAATAGAAGCAATTTCTCGAAAATTTCTGTTATGGTTCCTCTGATAATTTGTTATGACCGGGAAATGCTTCTAGCTAATTTTAGGGTTATTTGAAGCAATCAATGCATTTCTATTCAAAATCCTTTTTCTTGTTTTACAAGGTTTTCTGCTGCCATATCAAAACCTGCATTATTTTTTCAAATGTTATGTCAAACAGGCTGATAAATATTTAGATGATAAATCATGTTTTTCAATTTTTGTAGATAAATTTTTCCAGTTTTTAATACCTTTACATTAATTT